TTTATGCAATCTTTCCAGCAGTCTTAGAAGATAGACACTTCTATAACCCCCATTTTATAGATAGATAAGAAAGCAGGCACAGAGAGGGTAGATGACTTGCTTAAGGTTACACAGCTAGTAAAGGACAGAAATAGGGTTAAAATCATAGTGGGGTAATTCCAGAGCCTGAGGTTTTAACCACTGCGTGACAGCGAATTTTAGGGAGCAAAAGAAGGAAGATTAATATAGTATTAACAGTATCAGTCGCACACGTAGTAACAGCAGCAGTAACTGTTGACTGAGTACTGATTTGTGGTAGGCACTATGATAAGTGCATATAACATGGTCTCATTTAACCCTTGAGACAACTTGAGATCGTGGATGTTCTTAGCCTTATTAAGTAGAAAAGGAAACTGGCTCAGTAATGTCAGTAACTTGCCCAAAGTCACACAACTAGTGGGTGACAGGAGGGGTTAGAAGCCAGGTTTGTATGTGAGCACACATCCTCACCCAAAGCTTGGTGTTGAAATATGTGCCAAAGAGACTTCACTACTTTAGAAACTTTAACCAGGGGACCAGGCTGGAGGAGGTGCGGCTGCCTTGCTTTAAAAGAATCCAGGAAATTGGCCTAAATCACTCTTTTGGACACGATTTGTCTTAGTTGGTTCAGGCTGCTATAACAAAGAACCATAGACTAGGTGGCTTATAAACAAGAGAAATTCATTTCTCACAGTTCCAGAGGCTGAAGTCTGAGCTCAGGTGCCAGCCTAGCCGGGTTCCAGTGAGGGCTCTCTTCCAGGTTGTAGACTGCCAACTTCTGTTCTGTCCTCACACGGCGGACAGTGAGCTCTGGTCTCCTCACTCCCTTATAAGGTCACTAATTCCATTCACGAGGGCTCCACTCTCTGGACTTACTAATAATTACCCCTCAAAGACCCCACCTCCTGATACCACCATCTTGGAATTTAATATGAATTTTGGGAGGACACAAACATTTGGTCCATAACACCATTTCACTTTTCCTCTAAAATGTACATAGTAGCATCAAACCAAGTAAATGATTAAAATTTCCTTACCTAAAACTCTTAATCTTTCAGCTCCTACTACTACTTCATCATCATCTGCAGAGAAGAGCAATTTTCCAGAAACGGTTTTCACCTCAAACTTTTTGCCATAAGCCTCTACTGCTTTTGGACCTAGAGGAAAGGGGGTGGTGGTGGGGAGGCAGAGAGGGAGAGAAAGAAAGAATACATTAGTTTCATTAAATTTGACTTCGAAAAACTTTTCATAGAACATACATCTGACAAGTTCGTACTGGGCTCTAATGTTAAATGGATTGGTTTTCAAAAGCCAACCGTGAAAATTAGTCTCATGACTTTAGCCATGTCTTGTCAATTACTTTTAATCATATTCTCTCAGGCTATGATTTTAAAGACCATCATGTCCTGCCTCCAAACTAATGCCTGAATGAGAGTTTCCTCAGCCAACCACCGAATTACTGTCAAATAGTTGTGGATTTTTGCTGGAATGTATCCAGGCACAAGAGGCTCACCACTTCTTGATGCAGCTGTGTATCTTTGGCCATCCCCAACTGTCAGAAAGGGCTCCTTTAAATTCAGCTGAAATCTGATTCACCGTGTACCCTTAACCCACTGGCTGTATTTGACACCAAAAGAAATCTATTCCTTCAGTATATAGATCACTTCCTGGTAGAAATGGTTATATTGTAATTAACTGCCTCGGAAGTTGTTGAATCTTTTATGCTAGAATTTCATTCAATAAAAAAAAAAAATTAGAGGATTTATCAGATGATAACAGATTATGTTTCTGAAGGCGGTACATAAGAGGAAGACAAGGCCCCTGATCCCACAGCACCCATATTCTGATGGAGACCGACATAAATCTAAAACTTTATTAATAAATAAACCAGGAAACTTCTAGAGCTTTAGGTGCTATGGAAAAAGTAAAACAGGTTAATGAGTTAGAATTTCTAAGAGAAGGAGACATTCCAATCCAAGCTGGATCTACCAGAACACCTGAATTTCAGGTGGCTCCCAAAAGCTGGTCTGCAGGAATTCCTTAGAATAACTTAGGGATGTCGTCATCCTCACTAACCCAGCTCAGATCAAAGGAAATTGATCTCTTGGTTTAGAAATTCCTACAGAAAAAATTTTTGAGGGTAGAGTCCAGAAATCATGTATTTTTCCAAAACTGTCCAGAAGATTCTGATACAGAATTTTTGTTTCCTTCTAGGTATTTTTCAAGTGAGTGTCACTTTATAATAAATAGCCGTGAAAGAGTCCCCAATGCTTTCCAGCCTAAGATCACTAGGAACACACCTGTAGTTGACCAAACTGGGCTTATTACTCACTGCAGTGAAGGCGAATGAATACCATAAGGCACCATGAAGCATCTCACTAAGAAGCTGCTAGAAAGAACTTACTACAGGACCTGACCTTATGTGAGGTAATTCTGGGGAAGGTTTAAGAAAACAAAGCTTTACTATGGATTAAACACTGCCAGGAAGTGGGAGTAATTTTATGACTGGGTATCTTAATCAATCTCATTTAGAAGTAAGAAAGACCAGAGTAATGCTAACACATTCATGAATAAAGAAACAGTAGTCCCTCATGTTAGCTGGGATAGAAGGCTGTTTGGTCTTTTTTATGATCTGGACAGTGCTTACATTCTTGCCTGTGTTCAGACACGGTCAGAATCGTCTTTGTTTTTCTGTGTTTTGTTTTGTCTTGATCCATCACGGGCCACTGAGTGGCCTTGTCTGGTGTTGACGTTCTGTGAAAATATTTATGTTCAAGCAGGGAGAACGCTAGGCCTGGCCGATAGAGCCGGCCAGCCCCTGGACATCCGGAGCAGCTTTTCTCTTAGTCAAGACTATCAGACTAAGAATCAGAAGACATGAATCATGTCCCAACTCACTCTCATTTTCTGGAAATGTGACTTTGAGTAAGCCATTTGATCCTTCTGATCCTCGGTTTCTGCATCTATAAAATTGGACTATCACCGCCTACTCTATCTACCTCATAGATAGGTTGAAAGGATCAAATGATACTGTGTTTATAAAAGAAATCTGTGGGTGCAAAAGTGCTGTGAAATGTAGGGGACCACTCTTGAGGTCATCTCATCACAGTCATCATCACCGTTACCATTTTTCTACTGCAATGGTGACAACACATTGAAAAGAATCAGTGCTGAGTGACCTAGGAGTGCTCTTTCCTAGTCACATAACCACATCCACTTGGCAGACCTCATCTCTCACCAGCACATCCACAGTAGTCCTCTGACGAAAAGAAGGGCATTGGAAAGGCTCCTTAATGAGCAGGAGATTGAAACGGCAGAGATAGGACAGAATTTCCAAACGTCGTGGGACCTGGATGCCATCTTTCTGCCTGCCTTCATGCTGCAGGTGAGGGGAACGAGTGGCATCCAGGCTGAGGCTCTCAAAGGACACTGACTGAGCCAATGGCAGATTTGGGCCCAAACTCAAGCTCTCAGAATTGTTCCACAGAAGGAAAGAGAGGTTTATTTGTCTCGGAAGAAGAAGGTGGCCGGAGCCAACACGTCTGGAGCAGTTAAGAGATGAGAGATTTGGGGAAGAGAAATAAGCAGAAGAGACAAGGGCCAGAAGGAGATCTTGAAAGAACTGAAATATCCGATGAAGGATTTGGATTAGGTTTTTCTGCGAGGTCTAAGATACAGCTGTCTTCTTGATTACATCAATACCTTCCGTAAAGTCCATATTATTTGTCAATACTTTAGAGTTATCACCTTATTTGGGTGGGGAGATTGGAGATGGGGAGGTAATGAAGTGCTAATGAATGAATGCATGGCCTCAGGACAGACACAGGCTGAGCACAGTGTGCCCATTTGGGATCCATTCATATGGCCAAGCTGGGGTATGACTGGCAGGGGCCACAACTGCTTGGACTGTGCCTCCGCAGACCTGGGCAGTATCATCAGACTTGGCCCCTGAGGAGTCAAGGACACCTTCCTGTGTATGAAGTGAGTTTCCTCTGAACTCATGAACACTCTGTGAGACATATAGGAGAGTGGATTAAAGAGACTACAGCAATCAGAGAACACAAAGCACAATTAAGTTATCTTGCTTTTCAGGGCTTTACAGAACACAAAATGGAATTTACCAAGGGCCAGAACCATTTGGGTATCTAAAGCTCAGTAATTGGTAGTTTTAGCCCAAATCCCACAGAGCTACTGCTGACTCAGTGGGGCAGACGCTCGTTCTTTGTCAATTTCACCTGGGGCTGCCAAACTTCCCTGGACATGGCTGGAATCTTAAAAAGTGACTCCAGAGGGAAATGCAAATGGAGCTGGAGACAGCTTAGGCGGTCCCTTGCTGAACCCATTGTTCCTTTCCGGGATGTAAAAAAAAAATCACTATTTCTAGTGATTTGTGAAACTAATCTTCACTTTATCCCTCTCTGTGTTGATAGCCTATGCATAAGGTGCCTCCTTAATTAATTTCCTAAACAGGGAAGAAAAATTGGACCCCATCAGGATGCATCTTCAGTCTCTAGTCACCACAACCTAGAATCTGGGGGCTGGAAAGGCCTGGTGGCTACACAGCCTGACCTCTCCCCAGCTCCCTTGCTACCAGACCCCTTCCCCACCCCCACACGATGCCGTCCAAGGCACCCCTGCCACTTTCCTCCTTTCAGGTCTGGAGGTTCCCTGTTTGGACCCACTACCAAGATACTCAGTCAGCAGCCTTCTCGGTCACATATGGCCTAATTCGAGAACTTAACTATCCCATAAAGCAAGCATTATTTGCTGTGAAAACATTACCTGAACATTTAACATTAGAATTTCTAATGGACTGTTAAGACATTCTTTAGGTAAGCAGAATTCTTGATTCCTCGGGGTGGCCTTAGCAGACCTCACTGCTTAGAAGGCACGAGTGATTTGCTTTCCAGTAAGTACACCACCCAGTATAACAGGCAGCAGAAGGTAGTGTCTGCTAGGACAGCTTGGTGCTTTCCACTGTGTGCAGAAATGTAATGTAAAAGGAAAACCCTGATGGAAAACTTTAGGGGTCTGTGTATTTAGAATGATATTTTTAACACCTCTACTATCCTTTCTAGAACTCATCTTGGAAGTCTCCTGTTGACTAGCATCAGAATGGCTTTTTGCCCATCTGGTTTTCATGGTAGCTGTCTTGTACACGACCTTCAGAGTCAGGGATAGGTGTCATCCAGCTCCCAACTGGGGGAGACAGAAAGACAAAGACTGTTGGACGGATGAAGGCAAGAGAGAAGAGAAAGGAAAGGGAGGAGGAGGAAAAAAGAAGGGTGAGAGAGGGGAGGAGAGGAAGAAAAAGAGGAAGAGAGGGAGGTGGGAGGAGAGAAGGGAAGGGAGACAGAGGAAGAGGGATAGGGAGAAAGGTGGAGGGGAAGAAAAAGAGGATAGAGAGGGTGAAGGGGAGGAACAGAGGGGTGGGCAGAGAGTGGAGAGAGAAGGCAGAGAGAGGTGGGGATGGAGAAGGAGAGGGAGATGGAGAGAGGGCAGGAAGGAGGAGGAGGAAGGGGAGAGGGAGCGAGGGAGAGACATGGACTCTTTTTGCAGAGTAACAGTCATTTGGGCAGTTCCAGCTTTATCAAAACAAAATCTCTCAAGTAAACCAAATCTCCCAGCGCAAATAAATGGCAAATGATCAACAGGCTAAATAAGTTCCTTTTGAACGCAGGAATCTGGGAGCTGGAGGTTGGAATTATTTCCCTCCTGGAGGCAATTTTCACATATGGCGCTTAAATCATTGCTTACTGAAGCTGTTTATTTAATTATTTAGCGTTGTAACTGCGGGCCAGATGTTATATAAGCAAGGCCGACCATCCAGTCGCACGCTGAAACAACGTTTATGCATCATGGGCTCTGCCGTGCAGCCGTTCCTTCCATCCCTGAGTCCCTGGATTGGAGGATGGTCCGAGTCAGCCACCGGCTGTGAATCTCTGGACATCCCCACGCATCACTCCTGGGGCTTGGGGGGCACCGGCTGTGGGGCTCCCTCCTCAGCAGAAAAGGTCCTAGGCACAAAGGCACCTGTTTCCCCATGGCTTGTCTATCAGTGGGGCTCCAGATAGTTTAGTCACAGTAACAGTAATATTTCAGGGCATTTGGGTAACTGGCTTCTCAAAACGTCCATCTGTATACTTTTCTGTTAGCCTTGAAGCCAAACAAATGGCATTTTCTGTCTGGAAGTAGAACAATGCCATTCAGACATACATTCCTTTCCCCTTTCACTGCGGCGTTGCATAATGCCTCCCTATTTACTGCCGCTTCCAACCTACAGAGGGGGCATTGATCATACTGCTCAACACACCACCAAACCACGAGGCCCATGTTTATCATTATAATCATTATTGTGAATAACCAATCCTTGTTTAAATTTCAGGAATACGCAGCTTAAAAGCCAGTGGGTGCTTTCTGCGGCTGTTAGGAGCATATCTGTTATATTAAAAGGAACTGCACAAACATATTCAGTGGAGATACATCTGCATTTTGCCATTGAATTAGGTTCAAAGTCAGCACATACGGCAAACATGGCATGGATTCAAATGATCACTAAAAATCCCTTTCACGACCCATAAAGTAAGCCGCGTGGCTCTGTGGATACTATGCTCTTCTCTCAATCAACCCAGCACAGCCAGTTTTTCCTCCAGCATTGGAGCAGGGAGCTTTTCTTTGGTTAAGCACCAGATGAAGTAGCTAGCTTGTATTTAGAAGCTGTGTTCTATGGAAAATAGATTTTTCCCCCCCTAAGCAGGCATTATTAGATTTCATAAGTTAAATTATGAAGATCAGATGGGACTGTACCTTTTAGCAGAATCATGGAATACACGCCACATTCTCTTTCTCAACACAGCAAATAAATACGTTAGCAGACCTTCTTTTCAAGTCCACATGGCGGTTTCATTTGACCTTTACATTTCTCAGTGCCCAGCATGGACCAGGCACTGCTAAGTGTCTTTCTTTTCTTACCTGTTATTAGCTGAGTTAGCACTTTAGTCTGGTCATTGAGAATGTTCACTGTAACATTTCTGGCAGATTTGAAGTACAGGGCATTACCCTGCAATAAGAAAATAAGAGAAACACATGAAAATGGTAGACTTCTAAACAACAACAACAAAAAACTGTCATCCCACCTGCCTAAGGGGCTGAACTGGTTTTAACCTAGTACCAATCGATGCGTCTTTATTTGAAAACTCCAAATGTTGAACGATTCCCTCATATATAATAATTAATTGGCATTCATCTAAAATAGATTTGTCCCAAAGAGACAGACAGACAGACACACAATGTAGATTTCCCCAGAACACATACTTTGTTTTCTCTATGCTATCTTTATTTACTTATTTTTTTCACAGACACATTTTTATAGTTGAATCAGAGACAACTGGGACACACAGCCCTTTAGACCTTATTGCAGACATTAGTTAGCCTTGGCACACAGAATTATCAGGAATGACTGGTAATCTCCAAACCTTATGCTCTCTCCAAAGGAACCGTGCCAAGTCCTTAAAGGAAAGCAGCAAACTCCTGTAAAACACCCAAGGTCTGCCCCGCCTTGGGCATGCCTACGACTGTGAGAATACTTTGTGGAGACATTTGCAACACATGTATACAACACCCAGGAGATCTGGCATCCCCAAGTAAGCCTCTTCTCCTTTCTTCCTTTTCGTGTCTTCAGATTCCTTTTCCTCCAGATGCTCTGTGCTTTCATCCACTCCCCCTTTATCAGAAGGGCTTTCTCACCCTCTCTCACACTCTTGTCAGCATTTCTGAGCATGACTCAGAACAGGGCTTGGCACACTTTTCCTGTAAAGGACCTGATGCTAAAAATGTTAGCCTTTGTGGAATGCACGATCCCTGTTGTAAATATTCAGCTCTGCTGTCCTTGTGCAAGAACAACCTTAGATCATCCAGAGATACCGAGGGTCCGGCTATGTTCCATTAAGCTTTATTCATGGGTGCTGGCAGCTAAATTTCATATAATTTTAATTTTGTATTTAAAATTTAACATAACATAAATGTGTCAAGACATATTGTATTATTCATTTTTAGTTTTGTTTACCCTCCTTCGATTATTTAAAAATCATTCTTGGATCTCTGGTGATGTAAGAACAGGCACAGGGTTGGGCAGCTCGAAGGCTATCATTTGCCAAGCCCTGGTTTAGAAGTTATCCTTTCCTTGGAGTAAACTAAAGTCATTAAACTAAAGGATGAATGTCTGACAGAGAACACATCAGCATCACCTAGTTCTTATTGGAAAAAAGAATTTAGCAGTCATCCCTGTCTTTCTGAACCTCTGTCACCCCATGACACATACATGCCTGAAAATTCAATCATATCCCTACGCATTGAGTCCTAAATGCTTAAAAACCATTGTCCTACAAGGTGTGAGGGGACTGAAGATAAGCAAAACGCAGTCTTTACCTTCAAAGGCTCAGGTTCTAATAGGAACCATGAGACGGTCACAGATATACTAGACAGAGAACATTACGAGTGATTGGGGGACTTTTCTGAAGGGTGAGATTGTTCTCCTCTTGGGGCTATGGAGTGGGAAGCGAAGGAAACTTCCAGAAGTAATTAACATGACAGCCGAGACTTGAGAAGACTATAGATACCACTTTACCAAGTTGAAATGAAAAAAAGATGGTCACGAAGGTAAGAAAATTATGGGTTGACTGTCCAATGTCTTTTTCCTTCTAAAACTGGTGGGGCCGAGAACTGGAGCAGCCAGCCCCGCCTGCACATGTAGAGTGGCAGGGCAGCACGCTGACAGGCAGGTGGTATGCATTCATGTTGCAGGTGGCTTTCTCAAGTGGGCGGGACAGGAGGGCCCTGGCAGCCACCACAGATAGTCTGGAGTCATGGTCTCTGCCACCGAAGGTTAACTGCTAAAATGGGTGGCCATGACCCATGCAGGCCTTGAATGACCAGTTAACCTTGAGAGCTGCTGACCTAGTGTTGGGGAAAAGACGACAACTACTAATATATCCAGCAATCAGAGATTCAGTGTAATCCCCCACAATGGTTTAAAATTAAAATTTCCCCTGATGAGAAAGGTTTCTTTTTTTAAAAAAAAAAAAAAAAAAAAAACTGGATCAGAGAAGAATACAATATTGTCATAGGTTTTTTTTTTTTTTTCTGTCCATAAAGAAACAAATATTAGTCTAAAATAGTTTCTTTGGCATTGTCTCTGAGAGTGCTTAGCAGTTCTATTTAAAACTTCAGAACGATTTAAGTAAAGTGAGAATTTAGAACCTGGAACCTAGACAGAAGATTACATGTTTCAAGAAGTTAATGTACTAATGTTTCTTTTCACAAATTCAGCAACCTGGCACTGCAGAGAAAAGAGTGGCCTAGACTCAAAAAACTGGATAAATTCTGCTGCCACTGGCTGCGACGTGACCTCGAGCAAAGCACCTAACTGTTCCGCATTTCGTTTTTTGTATTCTCCACCCTCCACACCAATGTCATTATCAAGCTCATCGTTGACATAACAGAGCACTCACTGTGTGCCAGGCACACACTAGGAGCTCTGGAGTCACACTGCCTACTTTCCAATTTCAGCTCTGCCACTTGCAAGTCGTGTGACACTGGGCAATTTACTCGATTGTTCCAGGCCTCAGTTTAAAGGTGTGATGGCACAAATATTAATTATTAAATTATTAAGATACACGTATTGTTGAAATTGTTAAATTCCATACATAATTATTAGAACACATGTGGCCCAGTGCCAGGCACACATGAAGTCCTAAGTAATTGTTAGGGTAAGGAGAGGAGGGAAAGAAGGAAGGTAGAGGGAGGGAGAAAAGGGGGCAGGAAAGGGGAGAGGGAGTGATAGAGAGAAATGAGGAAGAACACCTCGTGTACATCACTCATTCTTTCCAAACCATCTGTACGGTGAGTCAGGGGATTTTTTGCATTTTCAACATTCTGTTTCCATATTTCAAAGGGTTTCCCTTTATGCGGTTGGCTCACCATTGTCTTTCAAATCCCAGTACTTGCCTGTTCTTAATATTCTTCAAATAATTCTATCATGGACAAATCTCATAACAGCTTCGCTCAAGATTTATAGCAAGGGATATAATAAAATCACCCCATTCTTTTTTATCGCCATGCCAAAATACTATAGCTCAGGCATTGATTGCTCTAATATCCTAACATCATGGGAAACAGAGTCTCTGCTACATCAGAGTTTAAACAAAGAGCCTAATTCTAGCCTGGGATGTGTTGCTGTAATCCTCCTGTATACCTGATAACAGAAAGATCACCAGGAAAAAAAAGTGAACCAGCTAGCAAACATGAAGAATTTCATATGGCAGCTAGGTCAGTGTGATTTTTATTTTGTTCTCTGAATCTGCCCACTGAGACTGACCCAGGAAAATACCAGCCAAGCAAAGCATCCTTGGGGTCTCTGTGGTATTAGAATAAGCAGGACAAACACTCTCTCGTGTCTGATAAGAAGCTAAATTCTGCCCTTTCAGCCTCTTTTCTTTCCCTGGTACTGCCTCCCACTCAACGCTGTAGGCTCCAGGCCTGGGGAGGGGAATTTCTGCCTCGGAGCTGGTGACTTTCACTAGCTGACCTCAAGGGAACCATACTAGGACAAGGGGTTTGCCGAGCTGCCTGGTGGCTCAGCTGTGCCGGGCAGAAAGGAGTCTGGCAGACCAGTGGAGAAGGATGAAGGTCAGAGCTCAGCAGGTCAGGTCTGTCTGCAGCCAATCAGCCTGCGATTCTTCTGGACACAGGGGGAGGCAACACACCATTTCTCCCATGTGGAGAGGACAGTCCATATCAGCACTCTCCCCAAAATAACTAAAGTGTGTGGCATTTTGTACTGAAATTCTCATCACACAAACACTCTGATGGAGAAAAATCCCTGCCACGGCTCGATTTTTCTGAAGCAGAATATGCACATCTCTATTTCTCTAAAGTATAACATGCAGAAACCTTTTCCTGATGACTCGGGGCCACTGAAATGAACATTATTTGTTCCACTATGTCCTCCAGTGGCTCCTGGATGTGTGTGGCTATTTGATGACTGAACGGCTCCATCATGCTGACATTTTAAGATGATTGCATCTGATTTTTTAAACATGTATTATTTATTCTCATAACAAAACAGTACCTGTAAATGTCAAACACTATGCACAAGGCATATAACAAAGAGCAGCAATGCGCACCTCTCATCACTGCAAGAGTTTCAACTCATCTGGATGTTTCTTCAGGTATTTCTCTCCCTGTAGCCAAAATACACTTCCATGTTATCTCCTGATTCATCAACTTTAGATGTTATTCATTGAATTTCTCCAATGGAATGGACTCTTCCACATAACTTTGGTTAAATCAATATTCAGAATTTAATTATAATTATGTATATATTGTCCACAGATGAGCCAAGTAGTATACTTTAATTACATTTCCTTTTTTTAAAATGTTCATTTTTTCTCTTTCTGGAGTCAATAAACACTCCATTTTTAAAAAAATTTGCTTAGATTTCTAGTATTTTTCCTCTCTTATTGTTTAATACCTTTTCTTTAGGTTCTATCTTCCGGGAGCTATCTTCAACTTTAATTTTCTATTGATTTTTTAAACATTTCTACTATTTCTGCTATTTCTACTATTAATTTAGGAGAATTTAAAAAATTTGAACATTTCTTTTTATATCATCCCTTCCTTATTTGACTGGCATACTACCTTCTCTCAGAGAGGAATAAGAAAGTTAACTGGAAGCTCTGTGTTTCCGGAACGGTGAACCTCGCCACAGGTCAATGGTGGGGATTTGACTAATTAAATGAAGAACCTCCAAATGTCAGTAACTGTGTACCAGTCAGTAACCCCAGGGCCAGATTCATCAGAGAAGAATTCTCCAAAGTCGTGCTAGGAAGGTGGTGGGTACAATGTTATTAATAGGTATGAGTTTTGAGTATTAGCAGGGGCTGGGCATTTTGCTGGTCAGTGAACAGACTATCAATTAAGCCTCCTGTTTTCAGTTCATTCCCAGCTTCATCTATGGCTGGCATCCCACAGCTCACAGCCCCCCTGGTCCAAACTAGTTTC